GTCTAACTTTCTTGATTTTTTCTCCGCTAACACAGCATGGTGTGGAGAGTGCTTAGCCAAGCCAGATGGACAAGTCATGAGTAGGCCACATTTTGCTAGAAGTGTATAAGCTATATTTGGCACACTTGTTAATGGTCCAAATTTGAAAGTTTCAGATATGACCATGCAAATCACATCAGACTTAAAGTGACAGCTGCTCACCTGATTTGAAGCAGTCTCGATAACAAACTGTTGGGTACCACTGAAATGTATCAGGAAATTAGTTGCAATAAAAACACTCAAAATGAATAATCTCAAAGTTTCTAGCAACCTGGAAACAGACGTGTCAGTAAGGTAGGTAGTTAAGGTTCCCCCGGGCATTATATCTCATTTTTAATGGCACCGTATGAGCATAGGCCCCCCTTTCTCTCTATAATTAGAGCTAATAAATATCTTGAAGTGGATATTTTTGGCAGACTTTGGAAATATTAACCTATTATTACTAGAGTTACGAGGTTCTGAATTTGAATATGAAAAACACAGCCAAAGTCTTGCTCATCTCAAAAAGCAAATGTAGCAAAAATTAGTCCCATGGGACTGTTGTCTGATGTCTGGCCAGCAAGATGAGAGAGGCTGACTTAATGTTTCCACTGCTTCCATTTTATCACTTGGAAAGTTTTTCAATTATTCAAACACTGCTGCAGAAGAAAAGAAAATGGGATTTGGAGAAAAAAATATTGGATTGAAACGCCAAGCCTGCCACTTAATCTTAGTGTGGTAGATTAGATTATTTTTCAGAAATATTCACTCCTTCCCTCCCACCACCTCCATGGGAGAATTGTATTTCCCTGCTCCATTGACTTTGGGCTTGGCCACGTGACTTCTTTTGGCCAATGGAACGTTGACAAACATGATGCAAGCGAAGACTTGAAATGTGCCCACGCAGTGGGAATTGGCTCTTGCACCTCTTGTCCGGGCTACCCCCTGGTCTGAGGAGGAAGGGAGATGTGGTACCAGATCCAGACTCGGCCTGCAGCTTAAAGCCACCCAGCCAAAATCAAGCCAGGATTGGCCAACCCCAGCTGACCGATAGGCACATCAGAGAGCGTTTAAAGGACTACTGTTTTAAATTTCCGGGTAGCTTGTAATGCAACGATACCTGGCTGACACATTGGCAAAGACATCATTTTAGTTAACATGGAAATAATAATGTCGACATTACAGTGTGACCTAAATGACATCATGCTATTATCACTTTACCTGTTTAGGAGAAAAGTGTCCCACCCCTGCCTTGGCTTCTCCAACACTGTATATGTTGACAATATAGCTAAGCTAGGACTACTACATTTTCCAGAATTCCCTTCCCTGTAAGGACCTGGGTTAGCATTGACCACCAGAGAAACTTCGTGCAAAATTGGAAGCCAGAAGTAAGGCAGCAGCTATATTTTTATGCTCTGATGTTTGGAGCAGGGCACTAGGAACAGTGGGTGCTTATGTATGTTGTTGCTGATCTGTTATCTTGCCTTGTGTTAGGCCAAGTAATTATGTAATTCCATGGAGAAGGGGACCATCTTCCTCTGAAAGTCACACACAGCATCAAGGTTGGAGGTGGTGAGAGACAGATGTACGTTCCAGTTTGTATTTTCTTTTGTTCACACCAAACTTTCTTTTCTTTTCGGCTGACCTGTAGCTACTTCAGGCTCAACATCAGAAGCAGAGATAACAGGCTTACCTTGATGCCACTGCTTGCTCCCACAAGCATGTAAAGTCAAGTCCCTATAACAAATCCTCCATTCTCCATCACTCACAGGTCTTCTCTAGATTGAATGCTGACATATTATGGCTGAGCCCATTGTTGTTTTAATCTGTAAATTCAGGAAAGTTCCCCAGACCACAGTCTTGAGTTGTTTCTGATGGAGCAAGAAATATGTGACATTAAACTAGGCTTCATTGAGCCCTTACTACATGCAAACACTCTGCTGCTTTGCATGTGTTATCTCATTCAATCTCATTAAATGGTCCAAATCCCCCATCCTAGCTAGTTCACTCTTGTCATCATCACCAATTGGTAGTTCAGAGATACCTGCTAGCTACAGTGATATTCCAAGTTCTGCCCTTTGGGATTGTAGACTGGGACCCAGTGCCCTCTGGGGTGACCCTAGGTAGCCTGTGCTGCCCTCATGTAAACAGCCTGGATCACAGGTGGCACCCATTAAGGGCTTATTTCCTCCTCTTCCCCACCCTCGACCTTGGCATTAATCTTTGTCCGAAGGTATATACCCTTTGACCCGACCCAAGAACTCAGTTTCCCTCTTAGAATAAAGTCTGGCCCCAAATTTTTGCGTAGTGACTTGATGCTGCTGCCAAGGTCAGGTCTCAAATGGGAACTGCTTGCCTCTGTCCTATGTGTTGACTCTCCTGGATTGAAGTAGTGCCTATGGCTCAAGGCCACTTATTGGGATGCCCCATCCCTTACTAGACATTCACCCCTAATTGGGACCACTTCATATTGAACCCCTTCCCCCATCCAAAAACCCCCAATTTGCTCTCTAGGACCGAGGTAGCTGCCGCCCCTGGATACAGGCTGCTGGGCCCACCTGTGTGTGCCTCTGCAGTCTGCATTGGTCACCAAGTCCGTTTCCCAGCGTTTGTCCTATCTCAGGAAGCAGGGGTTATGACAAGGTTTGCCAGGTTGTACAAAGATTACATTTAGTGGGGTTTCTAACCCAGATCCTCAAGTGGATTTGAGAGGTTTTTCAATATCAACGGCTATGGTAGTTTTGTGCTGTACCAACTTGGCTAAGCTGGAACAATGTTTCCAAGCATTCTCTTCTCTATATGGTTCTGGGTTACAGTTGGCTAAAAAAAAAAAAAAAAGAGCGATTTGTGCAAAATATGGAAGGCAGAAAGGAAGCAGCAGCTGTGACCTTGAAAATCACTGTGGTTAGAGGTGGTGAGAGACAGATGTGGAGGTGCCAGTGGTTAATTTGTCCTCTTTCCTGCTCCAAGTCAGCTCTTTTTCCTGTCTGCCAGCTCTATGGACCAACAGCAGCTCTCAGATCATGAACAATGCTTGGCTGCGAACTCATCAAGTGTAATAGCAACACTGAAGCAATGACCTTCCCAGACTTCTGCACCAGCCCCCTCCATGGTTCCCACTCCAGCAGCCAGATGCGCCTAACTTTCAGATTTCCCTGCAAGTTCAAACTTGTTCACCAGCACCATAGCTTGGGGAAGACTGGTTAGTGACTTTTCTTTCCTAATTTTGGGAGTAACCAGTTTTCCTTTGAAAAATGCCAACATGCTTTCCTAGAATATGACCAATATTCACTTAGAATTCTACTAAGATTTCTCTTTTCCCCCCCGAGTTCTAGAGCTCTTCTGCCATTCCACAGAGAAAGGTGGAGATTCCACTGTTCCTTCCCCATTGTAAGCACTTTGTGAGCTGGGAATAGTATATTTTAAGTGTGATTTCTTTTTCATGTATCCTGTTTTAAACGCTTAACAAGGAATAATTTGTAAAATGTTTTCCCAGTCGAATATGCAATCATGAGCAATTTGCTTTGTAGGAAGTCGGAAACGGCAGACATCCTCAGATGGAGTTAAAGAAATCCTAATTACTCACACCTGCAGAAGCTGTCATTTTCATAAGGTGTGTCATTAGCAGCCAGAAAGCGCGCTGGGAAAGTGTGTTTGCCTGTTTAAATAGGGGGCGCAGCCCAGAGGCTCCCATGTTGGGGCTCCCCCACTGTGTTCGTGAGCCCAGCCTGGGATCTTTGGTCACTTGTTAAGGCTGATTGCATGACTGAACACAAAGTGTGGCCAATGGAGCACACACACTAGTCCACATGCAAAGCAGGTGTGACCTTTTAAAAAAATTGAGTCTTTTACTTTGCGATTATGAATTTTCTGCTTTCTTAACTCAGTGATTCTCCGCTTCAGCTGCACGTTAGAATCACCAGGGAGATTCTAACCAGGGAGTCTGCCCAAGCTGCTCCCAGACTAATGGCACCACTCCCTCTGGGGTAGCAAGTTTTAAAGCTCCTCAGGCGATGCCAGCGTGCTGCCTGAGTTCTAGACCACTGGTTCTCAAAATTTAGCTGCATCAGTCATCTGGAGGACTTGCTAAAAACCCAACCCAGAGATATTCAGTAAGGTGTGGGCGTGCCCAATACTTCGCACTTCTCATATTCAATGCTCAAAACAATGTTGAATTCCTTTGGAATTAGAATCTTTTTCTGCACATAGGACATCGTGCTTAATGTTTTATCGTCATTAACTCATTTAATAATTTTTACAGGCTATCATTTTTCATCCTTCAGGTTTCAGAAAAAGTGCCAGACCTGAGACACTTGCTGTCCATCCTTTACAAGGCAGTTACTATCACATCACCTGGTTTGTTTCTTTCTGGGCCCTAACCACTCTGCAATCTTGTTTATTTCCTCTTTGAGTTGCACATAAGGTCCATCATGGCAGAAACTCTGCTTGTCTTCACCTAGTGCCCAGCATGTAACTGGCACTCCACAAACACTTGCTGAATGAATGAATGCACACAGCAACCTTAGGAAAGCATGGTTTGTATTTCCCAGACCAGGACATGGAGATACAAAAAGATTAAGTAATTTGTCTGAGGTCATAGTGGAGGAACTGAGACTCAAACTTATCAGGGCTGGGCTTTCAAACCACTGCAAGAATTGATCGTCAGCCTTACAATATAAGCCTTCTTTCCCAGCAATAAACTGAATTACTCACCTAAGCATGTGAACTATCTTTGCCTTACTGCCAATTAATTCAAAGCTGTATGTTTATTCAAATAACAATAAAAATCCAGAGCGCAAACTCATGTGGCCAGACTGTAGAAACAGTGGCACTTTCTTTCCTATTTAAAAACTACTGTTCATACTGAAACTTACCTACAATGCCCCAAAGCAGGTTAAATATTTGCACCTAATATGTAATACATCAAAACCTTTTAATAAAAAAAATGTTGGTATATAGGGGAAGAAAAACCACATGACAAATGGATTTAAATTATGACTTTATTGAGCATGCCAATACAATTATTCTGGTAATAAATTAATATGTACAGTTACAAAACATCAAGTGCTTTCTAAGAAAATGCTTCTGAATATGTACAGAAGGATATGCAGAATTCTTTAAATAGGTAACTGTAATTTTCAAACTCAGAAGTGTGGTAACATCAAGTTACTGAAGAATGGAATCTCTTTCTCTGTAACTCATGCTTTTAGACAGTTCTCAGTTTAAAAGGTTTCAATGATCACTTCAGCTCCTATAAGCTATGAACCCTAAAATTACAGAACTGACGGTTTAGAAATCTGATCCAGTCTCGTAAGTGTACAGATGAAGAATCCACTGGCCTTACCCAAGATTAGAAAGCTAGTAAGAGACAGGCTGGATTACAAATCAGTTCTCAGAGGTGCTCCAGAAATATCTGTTGAGCTAAATAAGGCACATGTATCACACACGACTCTAGTCATGTCTGAAAGACCCTGGTTTTACCTTCTGCTTAACAGAAATTTAAATTAAATCCTGATGCGCTCTTTTGTAGTTAATACATTTAGTGACTCACTTGCTTTGGAAACAAAATTGTTCCCATGATTGCAGCTTATCACTGATCACTGGTGGCTGTCTATGCTGCTTCTCTGCTGGATGTTTGGACTCGGGGCAACTTTCCTTCCTGCTCTTCTGTGCTCAGACCAATATCAAGTGTCTGTTCTTGTTTGAAATTCATTGCTACCTACAAAACCGTCAACATTTGTGTATGGGACAGTTCATTTCTCTCTGAAGCTTATTCCCACCAGTCAGCACCTGCTCTGTTCATGAGCCATCACTGGTTCCATAGCAACTGTGGATTACTTCTGGGATGTCAGTGTCCCCAACAGCAAGGAGATTTCTCATCACATCAAGAATATGTCATATGCTTCATGTAATGTACCAAGCACTTCTGGCACACATTTTTTGATGATTTGTCTCAGCCTAATGGCGGGACATAGCCACGCTGCTGGCAGGTAAAAAAAGGCCACTCATCTGCTATAATTTATACCCTGATGAATGCGTGCAGCATGTTTATCAATCAGTAATAGAATGTTCACATTCTGGCAAGCTATTTTTCTTTCTAATTGCAAGAGACATTCCCAAAACGACCTACCAGATTTCAGTTGTTTTTTTTTTTTAAACTTTATTATATACACACAGCAAAACTGTGTATTATAAAGGGAATTTCTGAATTTCCATGTAAGTGATTCTAATTTCTTGCTACTCTCAGCACTGCGGCAAAGGAAGTCTGATAGCCTATCTTTACATAGTTCCTTTTCCCCAGGGCAGCATTTCTCTGTAAGAGCAAATGTTTGGTTTGGTTGCAACTTGTAGAAGCTTATTAGATGTGCTCTCAGGGGCGTATTATTTAGAATACACATCTCACTTTCAAGTTCATCCTCAGCAAATACAAGAGTTGTAAAACATTTACCTTTTAGTAGTGACGTGATTTTGCAGTAACGCTAAAATCCCTGCCTCCAGCCATGAAGACTTGACATCAGCCCCCATCTACAATGCAATTTCATTAGCTGTATCTACAAAGTAACTAACAAGAATTCAGATACAGAAATACTATTTGCTCTGATCTGGTAACAACATTCAAACATTTAATTTACTAAGTTGGCATATTTTTCGCCTGTCATTCTGTTAGCAATTTCACTTCCTTTGGCTGTTTTTCTTTTTATCTTGTCCCGATTTTCAAGGAATGTGCAGAATATCAGTAAGGAAACAGCATGAAGTACAATGGGAAAGGCATGCTTAATAGAACAGGAACATTCTAACAGTGGCAGGACTGAGAAGACTGGGTTGGAGTGGAAACTGACTTTCTTAAGTTTAGAACAGCAATTCAAAAATAAAATCCCTTTTTAATTATGGAATCCTAATGACTCTGAGGTAGATGATACTGTTAATAGATAATAATTAGTTATAAGATAGAAAAATAACAAAACTGAGGGAAAGAAAGCACTGATTTGAAATTATCTTCCTTTAAATTCAGATGGAAAATTAAGAATACTTTTTCCAATCCAAAGTTCTAAGCACAAAATCCAGGTATGTCACATTATGGACCTGCTTCTTTAATTGGAGATGAACTCAGCAACCAATGGAAAGAATCCACACTCTAACGGAACAGCAAACTACAAAATGGTTGTCCTCATGAAGAAGCCAGTAATTCTGCATTTGATTTGTCCAGCTTGGCTCATTCCAAAATGTTCAAGATTTGGAGTCCTAGTCTTTTTTCAGCATTTAACTAATTCTTTGTTAGTGGAAGGGGCTGGGACTGTTTCTCCACATATAAACTGCTCCTAGGAAAGAACAAAAAATTAATCATTGAGTGTCTGGGTCACAAATGCATCAATATTAAACTTTCAACTTTTACAGAATCAATCCAGCTCTATGAGTTTTTTCATTGCTTTATCACTTCATCCTTGTTCAAAGAGTCAATCTCAGCTCCAGAATTATAAACTTAAAAATGTATCAGTTTTTAGTCCTGAATTCTATTTAATATTAAGCACCGTATCTTATAAAGAAACATGCTCATCTTTACCACAGAGCATCCACTTCTCAGAAATGACATTTATAAAGACATTGCCACACTTTTAAGTTTCTGTATTAATTACTACTTACACTAAAACTTCTCTACTTCAGTATTTGGTCATTCAAATACCTGTCCCCTTCAAAGTAATTACTTCTTCCAACTAAAAGGGAAGCTCTTTATTATAATCTGCCATGTTAGCTACTTTCTACATGAAGTTCACTCTCTGATTATTTATCCTGCTTATGTCAGCTAGCATAAGAAATCTCTGCCTCCCAGGTTACTGCAATCTGATCACCATAAGGATCAGCCTATATTCTGCCCCTGTCGCTGTCTCACTCCTACCCAGCACCTAGAACCCTCCCAGTATGCTCTTTGGAATTTATGGTCCATCATCCGCACAATGCTCCCTATTCTCAACCTCTTCCTTAAAACGTCCCTGTGTCTTTTTGCTCTAACACAGTGATTCTCAAGGTGCAGTGGGGGTGTGGGGGGGTAGTGTTGATTTTTGTCTCTAGGGGACATTTGGCAATGTAGAGGAACATTGTGGGTTGACACAACTGGGAAGGGGGTGCTACTGGCTAACAGGTAGAGGCCAGGGATGCTACTTAATACCCTCCAATGCACAGTAGAGCTCTGAACAACAACAAAGTTATTCAGCCCCAAATGCCCATAACGCTGAAGTTGAGGAGAGGCCAACCCACAAGGACACAGTTCCCCCTGGAACCTCTCAAGTGAGGCTCTGTGTTCTCTCGGAGCCCTAGTAACAGAGGCTGGTGGAGGGGCTGGTTTCTCCTTTCTGCCACTGTTCTCCTCCCCCCTCTAAAACCCACCAACTTTGCATCTTATGTCGTGAGACTACATCATCACTATTCCTCTGTTGCTGTCACCTACCCCTCTTGGATCCCTCATTCCAACCCCTCTGGGATCTCCAGTGTATTCATCCTACCACTTTTCACTGCCCCCTCACTCCCTTAACGCTATCTAGTTTAAATTCATGATCAATTAGGGTAATTGCTCTTCTCCCCCTTCTTCCTATTCACTCGGCAAAACCATTCCTCTGGTTAGATCTAACTTCCTTTATTTACATTCATGTAGCTGAATGTCTACCACCTTAAGCCCTCTCTTGTTCATCACCAGTTACTGCCCCATGTCTCTGCTCCCCTTTGGAGCAAACTCCCTGAAAGAAATGTCTACACTTGCTGCTTCCTGTTTTTCTCTCGTTCTCTCCAACAGGTTTTCCACCCATCAGGCTCTGTCTCCTTTACTCTATTGACACAGCTCCTATAACCATCACAAATGGCCTCCCTGTTAAAGCCAACTGTTAATTTTCAGTTATCTTTCTATCGGTGGCATTTGATAAGGCTGATCACTTCCTCCACCTTTCCTCATCTGGCTTCCAGGATATGACACCGGGAGCTTTCCTCCTTCCTCAGTGGTTGCTCCTTTTCAGCCGACTTGGTTGATTCTTCACCTCCCCTCTCTGACTTTTTAGTGTTGGAATGACCCCAAGGTACAGTCCTTTTTTTTGGTCCATCTCTACTATATTCATAGCCCTGGTGATCTCATCCAATCTCATGGCTCTAATGCTATCTATATGCCAATAACTCCCAAATTTAAGTGCTAGCTGAACACTCTTTTAATTCCATGCTTACATATCCAACTGCTTTCTCACCAGCTCCACTTGGATGAAAAATAGGCCTTTCAAACATAGCTATGTTCAACTCCTGCCCTGATATCTGCAGTCACCTCCCCCTCAGTTGATGGTAAATCCATCCTTCCAGTTATGAAGGCCACAAATGTTGAAATCATCCTTGACTCCTCTCATATCCTATATCTAATCAATCAAAAAAAAATTCTTATCTTTTAAAGTGTATCCAGAATTCAACCACTTCTCACTACCTCAATTGCTGCAGCCTGGTTCAAGCTACTCATCCCCTCCTTTGATGAGTCTAACAGTCTCCTACTGGTTTTCTTGCCTCTATCTTTGTTCCTTCATAGTCTACTCTGAACACAGCAGCCAGAATCCCTCTTTTAAAACTTGAGTTGGATCATGGCACTCCTTTGTTCAAGGATCCTCCAATGGGTCCCTATATCATTCACAGGAAAAGCCAAAGTCCTTGAAGTGGTCCCACAATCATGTCTGTGATCTCCCCCACTCCACTAATTCATCTTGGACGATTCTTACCCTCATTTGCTCTGCTCTGGTCACAATGGCCTCCTTGCATATCCCTGCCTTAGGAACTCTTCACTGAAAGTTCCCTTTGCCGGACTGCTCTTACCCACTGTCATGTGCAGAGCTCACACCCTCATTTCTCTCAATCTTTGTTCCGTAAGGCCTGCTGCGATTACCCCATTTAAAACTGCAGCCTCTTCTCATACCAGCACTCCTGCTCTCCCTTACTTCCCCTGTTCTCTTTTTGTTCCAGAACACATTTTGATACAAGAATAAATCAGTACACGTCTCAATTATACTCTAAATTATCGTCTGCTTCTCTCATGAAGCCAAGTGCCTTGTTCCCACCTTCTCTAATCTCATTTTAGGGTTCATCCTTAAGATGTTAAGTTCTGTTTTATTATTATGTCTCAAAAAAAGAAAAGAATGTTAACCTTCTTACTTAAGGCTTTATTCAAAGTACTAACCAAGGGCCGGCCGAATGGCCCAGTTGGTTAAGAACTTGTGCAAGAGTTTGAGCTCTGAGCAACAGTGGTTCGATGCCCGGCCCGAGCTGAGTTGCCGCTGAGCTGCCAACAGGTAGCAGGATGGCTCAGCTAAAAAAAAAAAAAGTACTAACCAAAAGTTGGGGTGGGGATGGGCAGTGATAACATTTACTTTGTTTTCTATTGTTAATATCCCTGGGTGAAAAACAAGAGGACAACTAAAGACTAATTGTAAAACTGCAACTATGACTATTTCTCAAACAATAAGTTGCAGATATTCTATGTATAAGCCAGGTAAAAAATACTATGCAATTTTCCCTTGAAAATAAGTCTAGGAGCTCTGAACAATTTTAATTACTTATTAAATAAAGGAGGAATAAAGACTGTCAATTAAATAACCTGTATAATTATTTTTCTTCTATTTAGTAAGTAAGCGGTAATTTTCATTAGATACAGAGCATTATTGCCCTGGCAAAGCTGAAATTAGTTAATTAGAGTTTTGAAAATTTTAATTTACAATGCTGCTGTTTATTAATGGTTTTTACATTTTGTTTTTAAAAACACAGCATTTACCTAACACACTGTTAGAAAACATCCTCCTGCACTTATATATCGACAGACTGCTCTAGGTTCTTGCATCGAAACCCTCCCCCCATCTTTTATAATTTGACCCCTTACTTTGTCATAAATCACTTTTATAACGAGAGAGCAGCTAGGACACGTTGCCACGTCTTCCCCATTCTCCAAATCTTCCTGTAACAAAATCAAACACCGTATGATCAGCACAGTCTTTCCTTTGCAATCTCCTCCTAAACCTTCCCATCCCTATGGGCAAGCTCCTTGTGGCCTGCCTCTCTGCAAGGTATATGAAGGCCAAAGGGGCCTTCCCAGAGTAACGCCAACCACACTTCTCCATGGAAGCGTCACTTGGGGGAAACACCCAGGAAGGCTAGTCAAGGTTCAGTCGCCTTAAAACCTATGGCAACACAAAAGCGCGTCCCTTCCGCCAAAGAAGTATCCCAGGAAGTGGGACCCGAAGTGGAACGCTAAGTGGGGAGGATGGCGACAAGTCTAATGCTCCCAGCCATCCATCCACTCCCTCCCTGCCCCCCACCCCCACCCCTCCGAGCCCGACTAAAGGCCAGATGATGGGCCCACTGACAGCTCAGAGTAACAACTTTGGGGAGATTCATAAACTGGATAAAAAGGGAGTGGGTAACTATGAGCTGGGTGGGCGACCGAACGGCGGAAAAAATATCGTAGAGCAAAAGCGCGGCTGCTCTCGTGAGTTGCCCGGAGGGTTCCTGAAGTTACCTTGGTGATGCAGAAGTTATCCCCACATGGGCAGGGGTAGAAATACGTCTCTAGGTCCTCGTCATATTGGAAGTCTTCGATTTCCACCTCGTCGTGAAACACCGCCATTGTCACTGGGGCCAGCAGAGGGCTTGTCGCCCCCGCCGTCCCACACGGACCCGGATCGGTCTAACTTCGCGGATGCGGGCCCCAGCCGGGCGTTGTCCCCGCGCACCCGGGGCCGGTACTATCGTTTCCGGCGCATAGACTCGACGCAACTGCGGGCTCGGAGGCCAAATGGGTGACCTGTAGCGGTCACCATGGAGATGGCTGAGCAAGGGGGTGGAGAAACTGGAAGACAGCGCTCGCGTCTCAGTGGTGTCCGGGCACTGCTTCACCCATTGGACGGGAGCGACCAATAGAATATGAGGATAGCTCGCCCTGCCGCTACGTCACATCGGGGACACCGGAAGCTTTCAGGCACCGGCGGCGGAGTTTGGCCCGGATCTGGAAGATCTGTACCCGTAGTGACGGCGGCGTGGAGAAGTTTCCCTGTGGCTGTTGTTGCGTGGGTTTTAGACCACGGACCTTAGAGAGGCCGTGACCGGGCCCCGCTGAAGGCCGCAGCAGGCCTAGGTAGCATAGTCCTGACACTCGGCGCCCCTGGGGAAAGAGCCGCAGCTTTGCTTGGTCTTCGGCCGCGGTGGCTGGAGCAGCTCAGCCTTCTCGATCTCCCTCCGTGACTCCCCGGTGACCGACGAAAAGCTCCCTTGGGATTTCGATTCATGAGGTCACCTTGAGCTCAGGGCGACGCGTAGCTTGTAGTTCGTGGCTGCACTCGGCTGTTCAGGTATACTCCCGCCTCTTTCTCGCCAAAGATTCAAATGCCCTAAGTTGTGTTGCTGAAAGGACCAAGACCTGGGCGGCAGATTGAGTTCTAGTCCTATGTTTTTCAAGCGTATATCATTATTTATTACAGTGATATGTAATGACATCGCCTTTTAGTATAAGGAGTTTGCTGTGTGCCAGGTATTGCGCTGAGTATAACTCTTCCATCGACCTTGGGAGTTTAGATGTCATTCCATAATATTAATCGTCAAACCAAGATATAGAAAATTGGGACTCTTGACCCAAATCATGTACCTAGGAAATGAAGAGCCTCTCTGTCCCCAAAGCCTGGGAACAAATTACTTATGTGAACCACAGTTTCTTCTTTGTAAAAGTGATGGCATCAGCAGCCAGTTATTACCATGAGGCCGCTTTATACTTTGAAGCGAAATGCAAATAAAAGGTGCTTTGTCTTGGAAGCAGTGATAGTGTGTATTTTGGTATAATCAGATTGTGGGGTATTGCTTCATTACTAGGCAGTAACTCAAATCTTGGTAGAGAAGGAATGCAGTGCAGTGAGAAAAGTGCTATTGAGAAGCAGATCTGGGCTCAGAATCTGACTATTGTGAATTAGCTCTGGGAGCTGGATATTTACATTTTTGGGCCTTATTTTTCTGACTAAAAAGGGTTGGATTAAAGATCATTTACAAGATCCTGTTCAAACCTAACATTCTATTTTTGATGGAAGTTATGAGTTTTACTTGGTTCACATGTACCAAGTTTAGTTTATATTCACATAATACGTATACAGAACACACATATGTACACATCCCAATGCTTATTTATGTACACACACTCAGATATTTGCATGAGGTTACCAATTTTATGCACACTTGAAAGTGAAGTTCCATCTGGCTTAGCTCTCTTAAGGCTTGAAAACCTAGAGGCAGTAGAGTCTTTGGGAGAAAATCCAGAAGTTACATTAAAGGAGTTTATAGAAGATCATTTCAAAAGCCTCACAAACATTCCATTTTGCATAATTAGAGATCTACCAAGCAGTTAGGAAAGGTTTTTAAATCTTTGGAGGGTTAACTGGGATGATCGTGCTCTGTTTAAGCAAAGGAGAAATTCCAGTAACGCCCACTTAGCCCCGTGGCTGCTCCCTATATTTCTGTAGACACAGATACTTCCCAGGTGCCTCTTGGGGTCAGGAGGACAGGGGAGAGTCTCCAGTGTCTATTCTGTAGTCCCAGTGAGCATTTTGAGGTTGGGAACCATCTTTAGTTCTCCAGTGCTTCTGAGAATAGGTATCTACAAATTAAAGATGAGCCAGCCATTTCTGAATGTACAGAAATGGGTGTAGTTATATTTGGTTCATGGAAGTATAAATTGGTAGACTTTTTAGAAAGCAATTTGGATCTATCAAAACAATTCGCTGGGCAATTTAAAATCTGTGGTTAGTCCTAAAAGTTATAGTTGTCGGGTAATTTTTCTGTATAATTTCTTTGTAATTTTCCAACTTTTTTTTTGAGTGTGTATTACCCAAAACGGAAGAAGAAAAATGAATGAAGCACTAATTAATACTAATTGACACTGTGTGCCAGGCACTGTACCAAATGGTTTACATGCCTTATGTCATTAAAACAGCCCAGTGAGGTATATGTATCATTAATCCCATCTTCAACATTGGGAAATTTGAGGTTTAGGGGCTAAGGAGACTTCCTAAAGAGAAAAAGCTGGTAAGTGGTAGTAAGTTATGGTGAGAATTCAGATCTGTCTGACTCCAGAACCCAGGCTATTCATAACTTTGATGCCATCTGTGATATGAGGGTGTTGAAGCAGAGCTAGATGAAACAGTAGCCCTGGAGCGCTGCAGACTGTTGAGATTTTCAATAGAGCAGTGCTGATTCCACTGAGACCTAGGTTTGGGGGTCTTCTTGGCCTTCCATACTGTTTTCATCCTGCCATCTGTTAAGCCACACCCCCGGTCTGCCAGAGGTGGTTCCCTGTATGGCTCTGCCTGGTCTGAGTTCATAGTGTGCTGAAGAAAATAAAACTATAGCCAAACATGTGATGTGGTTGTTTTATTCCACCCAGCATTTTTCAAAAAAACGTTACAGTGACTACTAAACTTTACATTTATTCCTGAAAGGTAATGGAAACATTCTATAATGTTTTGGACCCTGGAAATGTGACAAAAGCAGATTTACTAGTTGCTATAGGATCATTTGAAATCACAAATTTATGACTTGAAGGTTTTTTGTTTTTTTATTTAATCATAAAATGTTAACACTATTGATCTGGAAGATAACAGTGACCGAAGTTCTTAGTGTAAGATCCAGTTTAGAAATAGGTCATAATTATGTAACAAACCACTTTATGAGTACTGTTGTGTATAAGGCTAAGGGGAGTTGTGTATTAATAATATCAACCCGCTATCTCTCTAGATTCTGTGGCATGGAGGTGAGGGGTTAATGTATTTAGGTTAGTTTCTTTTTTGTAACACTCTTCTTGCTTGCCAGATACTTCCACAGACATTATTCCTCTCAGCAACCCAATGAGGTGATGTTGGCATCCCCATTTAAAAACAGTAAGAGGCACCTGGCCCAAGATCAAAAAGCAGAAAGGTGTCAGATCTGAGCCCAGTTCCACGGATTCCAAGCCAAGCACTCTTGAAATAACTTGTATACCACTAGGCTTCTCTTACCACATGCCAAATTCGGGGAAGCCCTTTGCTTCCTCAGTGGCACCTTGGATTCTAAATTAACAGGTGCCATGATATTTCTGTGAATTTACTGTATGTCAGTGTGTGAATGCTCTTTGAGGCATTCTTGGTTTTCCTTTTTCTCTCACTGCTCTCTCACACCTCATCCAATCTGTCAACAAGTCCTAGGGCTCTAGTTCCAAAATACATTGCATGCTCATCTACTTCGGTCATCTCGGTAGCTTTATGCTGCTCTAACCTTAGACGGGAGCCTCCTGACTGGACTTGCTGCTTAAACGCTTGCCCCTCTATGATCAGCTCTTCAAATAGCAGCCTGAGCATTCCTTTAATGTAAATTCAATCATGTCCCTCTCCTGGTTTATTCTGATTCTTCAGTTGCTTCCCATTGCCCTTAGAATCAAGTCTGTACCCTTACCATGGCCTGATGTGATCTGGCACGTGTCTACCTGCTCGACTTGGTGTCATATCACGTAGCTCACTGTTGTCCGGTCACACTGGCTATGGTTCCTCTAACACACCAGGCTTGTTCCTGCGATTGGGCCTCTGCCCCAGTGCTCTGCCCTTAACATCTGCTTAGCTGCTGCTTCCTCATTATTCAGGTCTCAGCCCAGATGCCTTGAGAGGGACCTTTCCTGATACTCCCCCACCCACCCCATCACTCTTATTTTCTTCATCATACTCATCGTAATCTGTAATTATCTCATTCATTATCTGTTTACTATTATCTGTCACACACACTATAATAAAAGCTTCATCATGGCAAGGACCTAATGTTTGATTTTTTTACTGTGTCTCCATGGCCTAAAAGAGCGCCTGGCATCCATTAATTGTTAAATACATTGAGTGTATTTGTTGAACAGAAACCAGTATAGTTCCTTTTAAATCCTAAATTTAATCTGTTGCTTGAAGCAATTTTTTTTTTTACTGCTTAAATGGGTATGTTTATGTAGCATTTATGACAATTTTTTCTGTTTTGGAAATAGAGCTAATTGAGAATGTTTTGGTGAGGGAAGTCCTATGAGGATACAAACATTTATGGAATATTCCTGTTTGTATGGTTTTAGAAATTAATATATGTTAATATTGTATAGTTAAATATTACATTAAATATATGAAACCATTGGATATATTTCAAAAAATAGGTAGTTTTGTTTTTTAAGTACTTTATTGCTTTGCAAATCACTTTGAACACAATTTGATAAAAATACCCTTTATTTACCAGTAGGTGGCACTCTTGGTCATGGTTACTATTACAAAACAAGATTTTAGAATTTTAAAGAGAACAACTTCTAAAAATTTACATATCTTTCTTTTCTAGTGTAGTTGAGTGGTAGATCATTCAAACAGCATAATCACTAGAAGCTGTATCTTATGTGAGGACAGTTTATTTTAGCAATAGTTTAGAACATTAAGCAGAACTGTGTTTCCATATTAAACTATATATAAGTTAAATTTTATCAGGCAACTTGGCCTTAAATGACACTAACTGTATCATGCCTACCATTGGTCTGGTCTTTCATGGGGTGGATATTCTAAGTAGCTTGTTAAAGACAAGCCAAGAAAGATGAAAAAGACAAGCAGTAAGAGAAATCAGAAAAGTGGGGAAAAAAAATCAGAAAAAGGAAAAGTAGAAACATGAGGAGGGAGAATTGATGGAAAGGGTATAATCAAGAGTAGACTTGCTATGAGGTGCCTGCTGATTATAATGAGCCTTTCATTTTGCAGCTAAGAGATAGTAGTGCTTTCTAAGTTTCCCAAAACATTGTTCTTATATATGTTGTCTCTGCCATTGCAGGAACTTTGTGAGAGTTTCAATATATGGAAACACTGTCTGTTCCAACTAGTGTGTATCCGAAAGTCTCAGTATAATTCCAGGACCAAAATAGTGCATGTCACTCAGTCAGCCAGCCATACACTTAATGACTCCTAAAATCTCATGGACTTCTAAAGTAAGTTTCTTTCTGTCAGTGATTAAGACGCCATTTTTGGTTTAGCACATTTGAAGGAGAGAAACTACATTTAGTAGTCTTATATGAGGTAAAGAGGCCTTATACCTTTTTCATTTACTAGAGAAAAAATAGCAAGCAGCATGTTTATCCACAACAATATGACATCATACTATGGAAAGAAAGAAATCTTTTACCTTATCTAAAGACATGTTATGAAACAGTGGGTTTTTGATATGATTTGGTCATAATTGAATAAATTACATAGGACATATCACCACCTGATTTATTTACTTTGATTTTCTGTCTCTGCCTTCTAAAATACAAGTTTCCTAAGAAGGTCTTTATTTCGTTCATGTCTGTATCCCTAGAGCCTGCCACATAATGGGCTCTTAATAAATATTTGTCAAATGAAGGGCTGAATGAATGAATATGGAGTAGGAGTGTAAACACACCTAGCTTGAATGTTTTTCTAACACTAAATTTATTACCATGAATTTATATAGTGCCTTCCAAAGAGCTTAGAAGAAAAGAGCGTTCACATACATCTTCATTTATCCTCAAGCTAACTAAGATAGGAAAGGACAGTTATGGCAATATAACATGTTAAAAGTGGCCATTTTAGGCAAAGAGATACCTAAATTAAAAATTGGGGAAAACAGAATGGTAGGAACCAGAAAAATACATCATCTGACTCCCAATCACTGCTTTTCCTGATAGGCTAGTAGTTTTTAGAATTTGAAATGTTGGGAACCTTTGTGGGGTTTTGTTTTTTAAACTTTTTATTGAAGTGTATAGCATACAAACAGAAAAGTGCATAAATCCTAAGAGGACTTCTTGATTTTTTTTTTTATTAAGACAGGTTTTTTGGAGCCGTTTTAGGTTCCCCTCAAATTGAGGGGAAAGTACACAGATTTCCCATATATTCCCTGCCCCGCAGATGTACAGCCTCCCCCATTATCAACATCCCCACCAGAGTGGCACAGTTGTCACAATTGATGAACCTACATTGACACATCATTATCACCCAAAGTCCATAGTTTACATTATGGCTCACTCTTGGTGTTGTATGTTCCGTTTTGGACAAATGTATAATGCCATGTATCCATCATTATGGTATCATACAGAGTATTTTTATTGCTCTAAGATTCCTCTGATTTGACAAGGATTTATAAAAAGAAGACCCATGCAGTCAGCATTCTGATTAAGAAACATCATTGTCACTACTACTTCCCCAAGGGTAACTGCCAACTTGATCTCCAGCTTCATAGATTAATTTTGTCTTTTTCTCTGCTTTATCTGACTGGTCCCACAGAATGGGAAATTTTGAGTCTGGCTGCTTTTCATTCAGGATGATATTTGTGATACTCGTCTGTGTTACTGCAGGTAGCTGCGGTTTGTTCTCATTGCTGTCAACCTGTTTGTCTGCCATTTGTACTTTAACTGGAAATATTAAAGACTCACGTGGTGCTCTTTGGGTAGAATACAGTTATCAGGCGGTTAGAAAGTCTACTCTCCTTTTCTGTAGTAGCTTAAGATTAGTCATGTGAACTTGGTCAGAGGCTTTGGAAACTAATAGAGAACATGAATATTTGATGGCACCAATAATGACATATGTGCATACTGTGGAGATCAGTTGAGTCAACTCTAAATAGTGGCAGAAATTTTGTCAGGGTGAAGTTAGGCCCTAAATTGCTCTGTTGTTAGGAGATAAGAACGTAAGCATATCTAACTTGAATATTGGCCCCTAAAGTAGTCTGATATTTCTCTACTTTTTCTTAAAATAGTTTAACTTGCAGTTTTATGTTTGCCCAGGAGGCACCATGGCCAGTGCTGCTGTTGTGATTCCTGGGTTGTTGCGAGGCTCTGCTGGAGCCATCTGCACTCCGGCTGCTGCGCTGACATCGGCACCCAGGGCCTTGCGTCACCTTACTCTAACCAGGTGAGTCATCGGCCCTCAGTGTCGTTTGAGGTTGATTTTCATGGAGACCTGACCTGCTGTTGGTCATGGGAGGCTTATCACACTTCTGAAGTCATAACTTATCACCCTGCTGACATCAGTAAATTGTTAAACTTTGGTTAGATGTGCAAATTTTCAATGACGATTTTCTAGGATCCATAATGTTAGATTGTGTTTTGGATAGTTATGATATTATAGGGGAAACTAATGTAATTATTTCTTATGAGGATAATACATAATAACCTAATTTTACTTTCTGTTAAAGCATAATGAAATCCAAAAGGAAAACTGATCACTTGGAGAGAACTGCAAATGTCGTTCGACAGGAGGTTTGTATCTTTGGGTTGTGGCAGGTTTTCCTAGGCCGAACAGTTTGCGCACAGTTATGACTGGCTGACAGAGAATGCATTCGGTTAGCTTGACCTTTGAAGGACAGTCAGAGAGTTTGTTATTATTCTATTCAGAACTTTTTTCTGAATAGGACATATGACAACTAATTTGAAAAGATGACAGTGAAATACTAAAATTTTTCCCTTTAAACTTGGAGTGAATGGATTAAATTTTTTTTTTTTTTTAGCTGAGCCATCCTGCCACCTGTTGGCAGCTCAGCTTGGGCCTGACATCGAACCGCTGTTGCTCAGAGCCTGTACTCTTGAGTGAGCTCTTAACCAACAAAGCCACTTGATTAATTTTTGATGAAGGAAGTATACCAGCAATTGAGGGAACTGTTCTTGCAGTTATGATATGTAGGGTTATATTTTAGGGTTAGGACTTCGTTTCGAGCCTACATTTATGAATAGCTTACCTTTTCTCTTTCTTTCATTCTTATTTATGTATTTTTTTGACACCATGTCCCAAAGTCCTTGTTCTTATCCCTACGTTAGAACAACTTATTTTATCAAGGGAAAAAGCACTGACATCCGAGAAACGAAGGTGAATGAGCTTGTTACCTTTCCCACGTGCAGACTTGTTTCTGCCATCTTCAGACTGTAGAAAGCAAATCCACCACCTGAAGGGATACCAAGGGCTGAGAAATAAGGATCTCACCCTTTACCTCTGAGTAACTGTATTTTCTTTTAAAAACATAAACTGGGTATTTGTTTTGCTTTTTGAGTGATTCTTCACATATTTGGATATATTTAGCTTAGTGTTATAAGTTATAAAAACGATTTCACATAAAGAAGGATTTATACGCTTCTGTAAACATGGTCAGAAATTTTGTTGTCGCAGTAGTTTAATTTTTTTTTTATTGTCAGGAAGAGTAGTTTAATTTTTAGTAGTAATAGTAGGATCCTATTTAATGTAAAAGAGGATTGTTTGGACCCACCTTTTCAAGCTAATTCTATTTTCAGAAAATTGCTTTGGGACTCAGGGTGGTACATTTGTGGATTTAGCTTTAAGTCGATGTTGTTTTGCGAAGTCTGTAAAATTAGTTCAGCATAGCATTTAGTGTGTGTGGGAAAATACACTTTCCCAGTGATAAATCTGAAAATACTTTTCTTTTGGTTTGTGCAACACACAAAAATGCTGACTCTGTAAGTGTGAGACTTAGAATTTCTTTTTTAAAAAGTGAAACCTTGCCAGTTTGAAGAAAAAGCGGTTTCACAGTCTTAGTCTACACTTTTTTTCTGTTATATTTTGAGGCAGGTAGAACTAGAGCAGAATTTGGCAGACCTTCTGGGAAGGGCCAGATATTAAGTATTTTGGGCTTCATGGGCTGTGCTGTCTTAGTTCCAACTACAAAACTCTGCCTTTATAGTGTGAAAACAGCTATAGACACATAAACAAATCGGTGTGGCTTTGTTCCAGTGAGATGTTCTTTACCAAAACACCCAGATTTGTCCTGCGGTCGTGGTTTGCCAATCCCTGAATTAGAGTAGTCATTTCAGAATTTTACAGGACAAAATTATTGAGACTTTTTTGGGGGTTATTTTAACCAAGTTTAAGAAAACTACACAGAAAGTTAATGTAAACTCTAAAACTGTGATTGAACGTTGAGAATTTTAATGCCCAGAAGTCAGAAAATTTCAAGGCTATTCCAACCATCATATTACCTTGGTGGGAGAATTTTCCAATTGCCACTCTTCTTTTCTTGTTTCTAATTTCTACTCCTCTCTCAAACAGAACAAGAGCTGGAAGCTGGGAGGAGCTGGAAAAAGCTAGATGGTATCTGGGGCTCAGATACCCAATCCCTCCAGAGGGCAGCTCCTAGCCATAGAGCGCAGGAGCTTGACTTTGGACTTGCTGAAATGAACAGCGCCTCGGGTTGGGCCATAACAGAACTATCCCACCTCATGGTCTCATCTGCCTCTTGCCTTTAATTTGTATTGCAAGTATGTTTACGAAACATGCCATTTGCTCTTCGGTGCAAGTCTGAGGTAGCCTAAGGATAGGATGGCACCTAAATTTTGCAAGAGGAAGTGTAGCCTAGGAGATGTAGTGGCTTCCCCCAGGGCCAGGGGAAAGCTCCAGCCGAGGTCTATGGTTCTTAGGCCAAAGGCCCCTGCTGCCCCTCCTGGAGTGGGTTGAAAATGGAGCATTCAGCCACCCAGAAATTTCGTTTCCTTATTAAACACTAGTTTTCCTATAGAGAACTTATTGAAGGACCGTATTATGATGGTAATGCTTCTTACTTGGGGCTATAAATAAATGTCTTAGGTCATGCCGATGCAGGAAACTGAACTCTGAAGTGAATGACATTTGAGTGTTTGTGTTGCGTTCACATTTTTTTCTGAAGGATCAAAGAATAAGCAGTCTGCTTAAACTTGGAAATGTCAAGGAGATAAGGGTAGACATAATGTAATGCAGCAACGATTGTTCGATTGTTCGGGATAAGACTGATTTCATTGCAGGGGTCACTCTGTGCTTGGTCTCTGTAGAGGGCTGGCCCACTGAGCAAGATAGACTCTATTCATCAATTTGAGGGGAGAGTTTGGTGTTGAGAGATTTTTTTTTTAATTACTAATTCTTATGCAGTCATTTGGAAGTATGCTAGACACTAGGCTAGGTCTTGGGGTTGCAGCATTGAAAATGATAAAGTCCCTGACCTTAGATGCTGGTAGGACTTTGATAAGAAGAAACTGATTTTGTGCACCTAATTCATTTTGGAAAACTACTAATCCTTTTTCAGTTGTGCTAGTTTCCTTCTTTGAGAAGTCTCTGCCTTATGCTGCAAGTGCTGTATGTGTATTGTTACCTTTTTGTTCACAAAGCACTCAATTATATGTTAAGCTGTTACTTGATTCTCACCGCCACCCTGGGAGGGAGATATAGGGATACTTATCCCCACTTCACAGATGAGGAAATGAAGACTTCAGAGATTTAGACAAGATGCCCTGCTTCCTGATTGGCCTGGGATAGTCCTGGCTTCCGCCTCTTGTCCTGGTGGAATGTCAGTAGCACGCCTTTCACTCTCACACATGCTCTGTTTTGGATGATAAATGACTTTTAAAGGACTTGTTCAAGTAAGTGGAGGACTTAGCCCTTGAACTCAGATCTTTGCTCTCAAATTGGTTTTTCTTTCTACCACAACAAAAGAACATGACACTGATTTAGACAAAGTTTAATTGAGCAACACAACGGGAGATAAATTTCACATATCCTCATCTCAGTTCCAAATCAAAACTTCCCTGAAGTGTTACTGGGTGTAAGGAAGGGGGCAGTTACTGTTATTAGCCATTTATAGTGAGCTAATAAAGTCAAATGGCTGGGATCCTGGGGCAGAGACCTTTGGGGATCCCATGGGTCCTGGTGCTGATTATCCAGTGCTGATAATCTGCTTGACTTGTGGTTTTGCTGAGGCCTGGGTTTGAGTGGGATGGGCTGCTTGGCCAGAGAGCTGGACCGTGTCCCAAGTTTAACCTGTCCAGTTCTGTTAGTCATTACCCACACATTTTGGGAAGATTGTGTGCTGTAGTGGCCTTCTTTAACTTGGTGGGGAAGGGGGCATCTCTTTAATATGGAATATTTCCCAACATTGGGACATCTAATTTGCTTTGATTATCGGAGTCTGTTGCTCAGAGAGCCTTTTAGAGATTATCCAGCCCGGGACAAGCAGTGCTCGGCATTCCAGCCTCATGATACTGTCAGCTCTGACAGAGCAGAGTGGTGGGAGGAACCTCAGGCCCCCACCACCCAGAGATAGCTGTGGGATGTGTAGTTTTTTAGAGAAACTCACAGGGAGGCGCAGCCTGATGGCCCTGGCAGCTGGCCTCTGGGCCTGCAGGGTGCACAGCTACCTGCTATGAGTGCAAGCCCACAACGAGGGAGCCTCCTCAGAGGAAGGCCCACTTCACCAACGCTGTCGCCACCGTATCTAGCGCAGTGCTGACATGCCACAGGCACTCGGTACCTGTTTCACTGAGCAGAATAAGCAAGCGAATCCCACCTCTGTCGCTGATTACCTGTACTGCCTTGGATGAGCCACTTTGTAAAGTAGCAGCAGTGAAGAGGAAGTGATGATGCAAGGGTACTCTGGTTCTATGCAGATGCGGAAAAGGAGGGCTTGCCTGTACTGAAGTGGGCGTTCCTCCAAGGAAGCTCCCTCTTAACTAGGCCCAGAACTTAACTTGTTCGTGTCTAAAATGTACAGTGTCAGTGCTTTTCACGGACACACTTTTGTTCAATAAATTAAGTGATTAAGAGGCAAGGCTTTTTTCCATTTTTTCTCTCCCAGGAGACCAAATAAAATGAAGTGGATTTTATTTTAAATTCTACAGACACATGTTGAGTGCCTGCTGTGTGCCTAGTCCTGTCCTAGGTGCAGGAGCCACTGCCGTGCATGAGGCAGGTAAAGCCCCTGCTGTATGTGGAGCTTATTATGGTACAGATAAGCCAGAGAATGTCGGATGTGATATACACTACAAAGGAAATAAACAGGGTCATGGCTGGGGGTACGGCTGCTGTTGTGAATGGGCGTGTAACATTTGAGCTGAGACTTGAGTAAGGAACAGAGCCGGCCAGGTGCACAGCATTCCTGGCGGAGGAGCTGGCGAGAGCCAAGGCTTTGAGGCAGGAGGGAGCTTGGCATGTTCAGAGGAAGGTGATGGGCTGAGAGGTAGGCATGGCCCAGGATGTATCAACTGCGGGCTTGGGAAAGGAGGGATTTTATTCTCAGGGCGCTGGGTGGTTTTAAGCAGGGAAATGACATGTGATTTACACTTTTGATGGGTCATCTATTTGCTTAGAGCAGTGGGGGGGATCTCGGACAGGTGGGGCCAGTGGGAGTCACAGATTGAGGGGACGGGTGTAGTCAGTGAAAGAAGGTGAGGAAACCAAGAGGTTTCTAGCTTTGGGATTTGAATAATCTGGGCAGATGATGGTGGTGGCA